AGATGTACTTGAGGGATACAATGGTACAATATTTGCTTATGGGCAAACATCATCTGGAAAGACACACACTATGGAAGTAAGAAATCTTAAAATTTTCTTCTTAATTTCACTGTCCTCTCTCTTGATCACAACAGTCTTATCTTTCTAGAAATTAGAGGTCTGCTTGTTTTCATCTTGCAATTTTTATTTTCTTCCCCTTTCCATTGCAACATATTTTGATAGCCAAGATGTTTTTTTTTAGGAGTGAGAATGGCAATTATTGTTTTTATTCAACCTTCAGTGGCAGGATGAGAAAAACAACAATAATGTAATAGTACTTTTTCACTTTTAGTAGTTTGGGAGACTTTTGAGGCTGTTCTTTTCACTCTGGGCAAATACTGGGGCTAAATGAAAAGTCAATGCCTTATAGATAAAATAAGTGCATAATACCTGTCGTCATTTTAAAGCTAGCCTGTTAACTGTGTTGCATTTTGGACACTGTTTCTGATGTTTGGTTCAGTGTGACGGTTTCATTTTTTCGTTATCTTTTTCTAATAAGGGGAAGCTTCATGACCCGGATGGAATGGGTATTATTCCAAGAATAGTGCAAGATATTTTTAATTATATTTACTCCATGGATGAAAATCTTGAGTTTCATATTAAGGTAAACTTTTTCATTGTTGCAAAATCTGGTCAAAAAGCAAAGTATGTTTGCTTTCTGATGCTCTATCTTTATTCCCCTTCCCACTTCTAGGTATCGTATTTTGAAATATACTTGGATAAAATAAGGGACCTTTTGGACGGTAAGCATTTTTATTTATATTTAACATTGAAAAGAAATTGTTCTGGAGAGATATAAAAGACCCCCAAACCTTATCATGATACTAATCTAGGAATGCAGTTTTCTAATAACCTATACATGATATGGATACATCAAAATGGAAAGGCATGGAGCTAATCTATATAACATTACTAAAGCTGTAGTAGTGGTTGTTTCATGTAAATTAAACTTTTTATTGTGTTGCTGAGAAATAACATCTATGACTGGGACACAGTATTCTACACAGCTCATTCATTTGCCAAATAAATGGTGCATACCTTAGCTTTAGATCTTTTTCTCTTCCAGTTTCAAAGACCAATCTTTCTGTTCATGAGGACAAAAATAGAGTTCCCTATGTGAAGGTGAGCGTCAATCTGATGTGTTTTCACCTTGCATTTCTCTACTGTACACCATTTACTTCTGGACTGTTGATGATGTGTGTTTTTGGCGCACCTCTCCCCCCCTTTTTTCTTTTACAGGGTTGCACAGAGCGTTTTGTTTGTAGTCCAGAAGAAGTTATGGATACTATAGATGAAGGAAAATCAAACCGACATGTGGCAGTTACAAGTAGGTATTATCTTTTGTCTATTGATTTGCTTCAGCTATGCCTTAAAAAGTAGGGAAGGCAAAAACAATGAGCTGAACAATTGAGATTTTTGAAAGAGTCTAGCGTAAGCAGTTTCAGCATGTCTTTCAGAAACAAGTATTTCAATTTATTGCTTGCTAGATGTTACTTGAATTAAAAGGAGAGAGTAGGATCTCTGAGTCATTGTAGAAAGAGGTATAGTTCTGCATTAGGAACAGCACAAAAATCCCAGATTGTGGAATTTGTTTCAGTTAACCTATGAATCTGTAAGTAAGGCACCATGGCTCATCTACAGTGGCCATTCTGTTGCATATTCTAGGAAAAGATGATCATGATAGATAGATATAGATATATATAGATATATATATGTATTCAGATGTGCTGCACATTTAAGCAGTATCCCAATGTCCTGAGCTTTTTGTCCTGTGGTGTTCAACTGAGATGCAAGGAGCCATGTCATGGGTCTCTGAATTCCCACAAGGAGGAGGATTGGGAATTGACAGAGGTTAATAAAAATAAAACAATAAAGACAAGGAAAAATAAGTCACATGCAAAATATTTCAGTTTTTATCAACTGAAGTGACCATCAGAAATCTCTTGAGACAGTTTGAGAATGCATTTTGCAATTCTCCTCTGTTGAGGTTTTTATTCAGGAAAAGGGAGAATATACAGTCATTAAGAAAAAAAAAAACAAACTCCTTTTGTTAAGGATCAAAAATCAAAATGTATGATGTTCCTTTTAAGGAATGACTCAGTACTGCACTTCCACTGTATTGCTCCTAGGTAGTAAGATTGAAGTGGGGACCAGACAAAGTGGCAGAGATACAGTGGAAAATTTGGATAGGAGGATATTATTCTATGTTCACCTGCATCTGTGGTATCAATAAGCTAGTCCTTTTAGGCCTGTGAAGAGCTTAAGGTTCAAAGGAAGGAGGCAGACGTTCTCATTCAGATTGCAGTCAGCTCAAATTTTGTTGATGTATTCAAATTATTTTTTTAAATTTGGTAAGTCTTGTTTACATGTTTCACAGCAGAGGGGGCAGTAGGTATTGAAATGAAAGGGCTGCAAGATTAGGCCATCTAGTTAAAATATTCACATAAGGGTAAAATGTTGATTTTTATCTACCATTGAAAGTCTACCAAAAAAACAAAGTATGTTCTGGTATCAGAATGTAAATGTGCTTTCTGTTCTGATGAAGTGTGGAATCCATAGTTGAAAGGCTGACACATCTTACCAGTGAGCTTCTGTGGCATTGATAGAGGCCCAGGGGAAACTGGGTCTTCCATACTCCAGTAGCCGATACTATTGATTTTACTGCCTCTGGTTTTATTGTCATTAATAGATTACTCTATACAGTGTCATTAGCTTTAGCTCTGTCACTTCACTGTGGAAAGATACTGTTTTGTTAAGTTAGTTTGGTTGTAAAAATATTTTTGACAACTTATATATTTTGGATTATAGATATGAATGAACACAGCTCCCGAAGTCATAGTATTTTTCTTATTAATGTAAAACAAGAGAATACTCAAACAGAACAGAAACTAAGTGGAAAACTTTACCTTGTGGACTTGGCAGGTAGTGAAAAGGTAATTCTAAATTTCTTTTTTCTGCTCTGAAAAGCTAGTTATTTTTTGCAGTCAAATATTTCACGTTAATACTGATTGTTCAGTCGTCAGCTCTGAAGCATTTTAATTTTGACTTTGAAATATGTTTTCTGAATCCTAGTCAGGGTTGGCTCTTAGACACTCCCTCTTTAGCTGGTCTGCATTTCTGCAATGAGGGTTTGTAAATACAGAATAGGGTGGGGAAATAGGCTACAGTTCATTCTCAGTATCTGTGAGAGCAGAAAAGCTCTATGGGTGTGTTGCCTAGCCAGGTACTGGAGTAAAAAGTTTTATAAATGTGGAATATCTGAATTTTGTTACGTAATGGTATGAAGTGTCTTTATTTGAAATTTCAATTAATGTTTAAAACGACACCTTGCTTTCCTGTGTGTGTAGCTTATAGCAGGGAAGGAAATATGTACCACTTTGCTTCTTCTGTAGCGCTTCTTATAGACTGTAATTAGCCAGTTAACAGCTGGATTTTTGATGTACTTTTTTTGATATACTTGTCATCTTTGCTTCTGGGTTTATCCCCATTTTTGTCTCCAGCTTTTTTTCAGTCTTTTCTGCTTGCTCTTGTCTGTCTTCATGCCACTGTTCTATAGCTATATTGTTGTCTCTAATCCTGTGTCTATTCTGAAATGTTTCTTAGTAATGGTTTCATTTTTTCTTTTAATGAGAATTAAAGTGGAAGCATTGAAGTGAGAACGAAGTTAAAGAAAAGGGCTGGGTGGCAGGTCTCCTTTCTCTGTAGTTTTGTTTCTTTCACTATTTGTTTCAAACATTGCTTTTGTACTTTTCTCAGTCTTTTTGAAATACATGAAGTTTCCTCATGCCTTTTCTTGGTTGGTTTAAACACAGGCAAATTGAATTGCTTAATTTTAGTCATGATGGAAGCTTGGTGAGAAAAATAGTAAAGGGAGGGTTATAGAACTCTAAATCAAATTCCGCACTTCAGGCAGAAGAGCTAAAGTAAATAGTATGGTGTCAGGGTAGATTTTCTCCTGCATTTCTGCTGATATCTGCTTAAGTTCCTAGAGTACTCATGTAGGTCAAATTCAGCCTCTAAAACCTGTTCTCCAAAATTCTTGCTAATAAAGATTCCTTGGTATATTTTCCAGAAAGTGTGTGGTTTGGTTAGGTTGTTTTTGTTTGGGGTTAGTGACGCTAAGGTAGGCAGAGGGGCATTGGTTGAGGGTTTTTTGGTGGTGTTTTTCTTTTGTTGCTTGGGGTTTTTTGTTGGGTTTTGGTCTTGTTTTTTTTTTTTTTTTTTTTTAAGGATGATTTCTGAACAAAGTGTAACACTTCCTTTTATTTTAAGGTATTCAAGCAACTTTTGAAGTAATTTATTTGACAGCAGTTTTTAACTATACATTTATCTTCTGTGAAAAAAAAAAAAACAATTTGCAGGCAAAATATTCACTTCAGTTTCAAGATAAACATCTTAAAACACTGAGTTTTGAATGAAAAATTGATGATGAATCAGGGAAAGAAGAAAGAGTAAGGGCGATTTTGCATATTCTAATTCAGATAGTTTGAGTACCTCAAAGTCAAGCAGGCTGACTTAACAGTGGTAAAATTACTCAAGTCTTAAATACAGAAGGGTTTTTGTGAAGATGCATTTAGTAATTAACTGAAATATTGTATAGGTCAGTAAAACTGGAGCAGAAGGTGCTGTGCTGGATGAGGCCAAGAACATCAACAAGTCTTTGTCTGCTCTTGGAAATGTCATCTCAGCTTTGGCTGAAAGCAGTGTAAGTGTTCTGTATTTTTATACTTCAGATTAAAGACTTGCATCTCTGAACGTGATATTTTGCAGAAATTCTTTCCTGATCCCGGTGATATGCATGGAGACTTTTAAACTAATAAACACATCAGTGCATTGCAGAGGGCTGTTACTCTTGCACGGTGTTGACACGGATGATTAATAAAGTTACATTTAATATTAAGGGACCTAAACATCACACTGAAAGTTTTCTTGGGCTCTAAAAGGTCCCAAACATAGAAGTACAATTTTGTCTCCCCATGTGTGTTCAGTGCTATGATTTATAAATTAAAGTAGAATTTAATGTCTTTCTAATGGAGTTGTAACTAGCAAAAGCATAGCTCTTATTTCAACAAATTAAATAATGTCTGAAAAAAAAAGACTGTTTCTTTTACCCATTTTCTTGGTAGACTTATGTTCCATACCGTGATAGCAAAATGACCAGAATCCTCCAAGATTCACTTGGGGGTAACTGCAGAACCACTATTGTTATTTGCTGCTCTCCGTCATCGTACAATGAGTCGGAAACGAAATCTACTCTTCTCTTTGGCCAAAGGTAAATGATTTCATATTCTGCTCTAACTATGCTTAGAAGTAAATGCAGAATGAGAAATAAGGAAGTTACTCTGTTAAGATTCCTGAACCTAATTCATTGTTTACCTACTTTCTGTAATTGTTCAGTGCATACGTAAGTGTTGTGACCTACTCTCCTGTTGTGCAAATATCCTTCAGCTGGGCACTGAGGACTGTGTTGTTTCAGGGAGGACAGCATATAGTTTGGATCAAAATGTGGTTTAATGTATAGTCTTGGAGAGTTATTAATACTATTGCTTTTTTTTTTAAGAGGAAGGAGTGCTCCCCTGTTGAGTTGAAGGTGGAGCTTGTCCTCTGCCACCGTTTGGTAGCTTGTTGAATTGCATCTTCCAGTCTGTTTCCTGTATCAAACATTCCGTTAACATTTGCGTTAATACTTCTAAATTCCTGTGTCATTTGTAATTGAGTTTATAAGTACCCATTTAATGTTTAGTGTTTTGTTAGGTATCTCTTCTTTACCACTCTGTTATTAACGCTTCATCGTAATACTCCAGTTCCTGACCACCAGATTTAATCACTTCATTTACCAGAATGCATTATGAATGCTGTCAGCATTTTACCTAGTTCACTTTGTCTTCTATGTTAGTGTATCTCTTCCACCTCAATTCCACAAGATAATTATCCACTGATCTTTTGAGAGGAATTTTTTATTATGGAAAGCAGATGAGGTGAACTTGAGAAAATCTTAAAATAATTACAGAATATGGGTAGTTAGTGGGAGTGGAGTAATAACTGTGTTCTGCAGAAGTGGAGAGGTTTTGGTGTTCTTCTAGAATCTAGGAGGTCTTTTCCTTTCCTCTTAGTATTTCTTGAATGAGCTATCAGGAAGTGTCTTCTAGCTGTAGCTCTGTAGTTTCATTACCTCATGCTTTTGACTTCTTCAGGAGTTAAGAGTATGCTTCCACCTCAGCCACTGTAGTTGGTCTGGTATATTAATGCAGCCTCCTGGGGCTGTTACATTTATGCTGAAATGCTCGGCTGTAGTAACTGAAGGCTACATACATATCACAGAACTTAGTAGGAAGTCATGTGTCTGTTGGTAGTAAATGGTTTCTTCTAGAGGTCATAATAGGGGGTGGAATTTACAGCTGCCATGAAGCTCTTTTTTTTTGAACTTTGAGGGAGGAGTAGGAGACTGTACAGAAAAATTACTGAGGTAAATGAGGTATGGCATTAAAGTAAAAACTGTATGTTAACTCAATGAAGATACATCATTAGTGCCTGTAGTTTCATCTTCAAAGCTAATGTCTTTGGATGAACTTTGCCTGACTGATTGTAGACAGTCATATCTGAACTTCATAGCTTGTATACCTTTTTGGTTAATGGACCTCTAGTAACTGGATTTTTAGGTTGAAATGAGCTGTTTCCTAAATAAGTTAGAAGTTTTGCACCCTGAAAGTACTATATTCTTCATGGAGAAATTTTTGCTAGATGTGGTGAATGTTACCCATCATTCAAAGCTGTGCACTGCTGTCCTGACTCTGATTCTTTCAGGTGCAGCCAAACTTTTCCAACTCGGCCAGCTTGAGATTATTCAGCCTGCCGAAAGTTCACTGTGTGCCTCTGTTCATTAACAGTTGTATCAAACCAATGGAAAGTGTACTGAGTTGACAGGGAGTAAAAATAAACTTTTGGAAGAGGTGGGAATGCTTACACTTTCACCAGTGACATGTAGAAATTTTATTTAATAGCCCTTAATTCCTTTCTTAAAAAAAAATTTCAGAGCTTTTTACTTTTTCTGTGTAGAGCAAAGACCATCAAGAACACAGTCTGTGTCAATGTGGAGCTCACTGCAGAGCAGTGGAAGAAAAAGTATGAGAAGGAAAAAGAGAAGAACAAGACTCTGCGTAACACCATACAGTGGCTGGAAAATGAACTCAACAGATGGCGGAATGGTGAGAAGCAATTTTATTTTTGTTCTGCAAACTTCAGGCAAGACAACAAACAGTCTTAAGAATACCAAAAATAACTATGAGCACTATGCAAGACAGTAATAAGAATATTGAAACTATAGTATGAAGTTGACTTTGGAACCATGTGTTTTTCACTGTCTTGCAACTGAACAGCTTCTTGTAATCATATAATAATGGCAAAAATGTCTGAAAGCATACTGGTTCTGTGTTCTTCAACACATGACTTACTAGCACAGCTAGCAACATCCATCCTCAAAATTTTATTTTGGGGAAGAAAAAGTTATGTTAATTGTAAATGCAGAAACCAAGTTAAATATTTCCTCTGGTTAGGTTTTTCTAATTCAAATCAATATCACAAGATCTTGTCCTTGTTTAAAACTCAAACATGTTAATAAGCATAAACCTGCCCAAACCCCAAAACTGTTGACAGTAGAGAGTGTGCCCGTTCTTTATTCCTGAAAAATCAACTTATTGATTGAAGTGTCTGACAAAATGCAAGTTACATATGAAGCTTTACATTTGAGAAGGAAGGAACATAGGTCATACTTGGAGATCTATTCTGGACTTTGGCAGCTACAGAAGATGGTTTTGCAGTCTTATGAGTTCACTTGAATAAGCTTAGTATAATGTGGGCTGTGTTTTTTTTGTGTTGTGTTCGTTTGTTTTGTTTTTTTTTTTTTTTTAAATACTTTAAAAAAAATCTTTTACAGAGATGGTATGAGGCCACACCTGAAATGTTAAATGTAGTTCTTCCAGAATATTGACACAAGATACTGGAGTGTTGGAAAGAGCCCATACCTTCCAAGGACTGCATAAAACATTTTGTAATAAGATGCTAAGGAATTTAGTTTAGTTTACCAGAGAAGTGCTTTGATTAGTGTGTGGTATTTTTTCTTTCTGAAGTTAGTAGAGTGTTCTTATCAGAAAAGACTTAGTGAACATGTTTTTAAATATTTAATTTTATCCTTTTATAGGCAAAGCAATTTAAAAGTAAATATGGCTACCTAGCAAAATAAACTGTCCAGGGAAAATAAAGGATTTTCTGTCCAGGGCAAGTTAGGTGCCTTTCTAGGAGATACTGTTTGATGTGAGGTTTGGAGCTCGTAGCAGAGTAACTGGGTGAAATATAATGTTTTGTGGTAAGCAGGAGGTAGTTTGGATGATCTAGTGGTTGTATTTTTACCGTGTAATCATATGAACTTGAATGTTTATTAACCATGGAGCAGTACTGTTAGTAGGGAATATTTAATCCTTCTCAAGGCTTTGTGGAAGATAATTCATGGCTAACTGTACTAAAACTATGTATGTTCTTTTCTTTAAGGGGAGACTGTTCCAGTTGATGAACAGTTTGACAAGGAGAAGGCCAACCTAGAAGCTTTTGCAGTGGACAAGGACATTACTGTTATTAATGATAAACCAGCTACCACAATTGGAGTAACGGGCAACTTCACTGATGCCGAGAGAAGAAAGTGTGAGGAAGAAATTGCCAAACTGTACAAGCAACTGGATGACAAGGTATGGCATTCTTATTTCACCTAAGATGTTCTGGAAATATATCTTGAACTATATTATGTAATATTTCATTTGCCAGTCTTCATTTTGTTAATACAACTTGATTAATTATTTGCTGGGAATACTTACTCTGATTCTGAAGCTCTGATTAAAAGAAATCAAAATAGCATTATCTGTGCTAAGTGAACATCTTTTTTTAGGATGATAACTGGAGAATCAGTACATAGAAGAAAAAAAAAAAAAAAAAAAAAAAAAGACAAATACGAAAATGAGGAAGGAGAAGTTAATCAGAATCTTGAATGGTATTTCTACTTCCTGGGTACAGAGCATTCCTAACTGATTATTTGGAATTATCACAGAGTCATAGAACGGTTTGGGTTGAAAAGGACCTTTAAAGATATACTCCAGCCACCCCACAGTGAGCAGGGACGTCTTCAACTAGAGCAGGTTGCTCAGAGCCCCATCCAAACCTGACTTGGAACGTTTCCAGCGATAGGGCATCTACCACTTCTCTGGGCAAGCTGTGCCCCTGTTTCCCCACCCTCATTGTAAAAAGTATACTCCTTTTATCTAGTCTAAACCTACCCTCTTTTCATTTAAAACGATTACCCCTTGTCCTGTCACAACACACCCTGCTGACAAGATTATCCCCATCTTTCTTATAGGCCCCCTTTAAGTACTGAAAGACCTCAGTAAGATCTTCCTGGAGCCTTCCCTCCTCCAGGCTGAACAACCCCAACTCTCTCATCCCTCTGTTCTAGCAGAGGTGTTCCACCCTCTGATAATTTTTGTGGCCATCCTCTGGACCTGCTCCAACAGGTCCACATCTGTCTTGTGCTGAGAACTGCAGACCTGGGCACAGTACACCAGGTGGGGTCTCGTGGATCTTTGTTGGTGTCAGTGAGATTGAATGCACCTTCAGAAAGCTTGTGGACAACATGAAGCTGTGTGGTGTGGTTGACATGCAGGAGGGAACAGATGCCATCCAGAGTGACCTGGACAAACTTGAGAGTTGGCCAGCCTCCTGAAGTTTAGCAAGCCAGCTGCATGGGCCTGCATCTGGGTTGAGGCAACCCCAAGCACAAATACAGGCTGGGTGGAGTATAAATTGAGAACAGTCCTGAGGGGAGAGACTTGGGGTGCTGGTGGATGAAAAGCTCAACGGGAGCCAGCAATGTGTGCTCCCAGTGGAGAAGGTAGATTGTATCCTGAGCTGCATCACAAGCAGCATGGCCAGCAGGCTGAGGGAGGTGATTCTTACCCTCTACTCCACTCTGGTCAGATCCCACCTGGAGTACTGCATCCAGCTCTGGAGCCTCCAACACAAGAAGGACGTGGACCTGTTGGAGTGGGTCCAGAGGAGAACCATGAAGATGATCAGAGGGCTGGAACACCTCCTTCAAGGACAGGCTGAGAGTTGGGGCTGTTCAGCCATGAGAAGAGAAGCTCCAGGGAGATCTTATTGTGTCCTTGCAGTATCTGAAGGGACCCTACAATAAAACTGGGAAGGGACTTTTTCTAAGGGATTATAGTGACAGGACATGGGGTAATGGCTTCAAACTGGAAGAAGGTAGACTTAGATTAGATGTAAGGAAGAGGCTCTTCTCTATGAGGGTAATGCGACATTGGAACAGATTATCCAGGGAAGCTGTGGATGCTCCATCACTGGGTGTGTTCGAGACCAGGTTGGCTGGGGCCTTGAGCAATGAGGTCTAGTGGGAGGTGTCCCTGCCCATGGCCAGGGTTCGGAACTAGATGATATTAAGGTCCCTTCCAACCCACACCATTCTATAATTCTGTTATACCAAGGATTGCCCCAACCCACATGCAGGACCTTGCACTTGGCCTTGCTGAACTTCCTGGGGTTCACACAGGCCCACCTCTCAAGCTTGTCCGGGTCCCTCTGGATGGCATCCCTTCCCTCATGTAGTTTGCCTCTTAGTTTGAGCAGCGGATTCTCTACTCGAGCAGGCTGGTCGCTTCCCTTCCTTGCCTGATCTCTTACACCTGGGAATCATGAGCTCTTGTGCCCTTTGGAAAGGATCCTTAAAGATCTGACAGCTCTGTTCTGTTTCGTTGTCCCAGAGGGCCATTTCCTTGGGAATCCTATTGACTAACTCCTTGAGAAGCTGGAATTTTGTTATCCTAAAATTCAGAGTCCTGACTTTATTCCTCACCTGACCCATATTCCTCAGGACTGTGAACTGCACCGGTGTGTGATCACTGCAGCACAGGCTGCCTCCAATCCTGATGTCACTGCTTAGCTCATTTGCACTGATGACCAACAGGTCCAGTATCGCATCCCCTCTGGTAGGGCTGTCTATTTACCTGGCTTAGAAAGTTATTCTCCATGTGTTCCGGGAGTCTCCTGGATTGCCTATAGCTCTCTCTGTTACTTTTCCAGCAGATAACAAGGTGGTTGAAGTCCCTCAGCAGGGTGAGAGCTTGCAAGCATGGAGCCTCCTGTAGATGGAGTAAGAAAGTGTCATCAATAGCTTGCTATTGCTTGGGTAGCCTGTAGTAAACACCAACCATAAGGTTCCTTTCTGGTCTTGGTTTCTAATGCTTACCCATAAGCTTTTGATCTGTGTGTGGCTATCCTTTAGGGACAGTTCTTCACACTCTATCCATTTCTTGATTTATAGGGCAACACCTCTGGCCTTCTTTCCTTGCCTGTCCCTTCTGAACAGCCTGTGGCCATTGATAGCTGCACTCCAGTCATGGGATTTGTCCCACCAAGTTTCAGTAATGGCAGCCAAGTTGTAGCTGTCCAGCAGCATGCTGGCTTCTAGCTCCTTCTGTTTGTTGCCCACACTGGACACATTGGTGTAGAGGCACTTCAGCTGGTCTGTCACCTGTGTCACTTTCTTAGAGGAACTCCCCATTAATACCTTTGAGGTAATTCACTGATGTTTTCCTGTTACCTCAGGAGCCCCTGGCTCATCTGTATAAACCTTCAAATGTGCTGCATTGTTCCAAGCACACCTTGGAGCAGCAAGCTGAGGGCCCTCGCTAGCACCATATCCCTCTAACCGTGGCATGTCATCCCACAGCTTGTCAATGGCGAGCCTGATATTATCCTCCTCCCCGGTCGAGTCTAGTTTAAAGCACTGTCAATGAGCCCCACAAGTTCCTGAGT